GGAGGGGGGAAGTCTCTCACGATTTTCAAAAAAGATTAGCGTTGATTATTTTCAGTCAGTTTACCAATATGTTGGTTACTTGAATCATTTGTACTAGTAAAATAAAAAGCTTAAGAAATTTTTCTTGAGGAAGGTCGCAGGGTGACCGGTCGGTTATCGAGGCACATAGAGGTCTATTGATGTAAATTTTCTGTGACTAAAGTTTTCCGCAAAAACGTGCAACTTTTAGAATGATGAATATAGGTGTTGAAGAAGTTTTGCCATTTTTTCTGTTTGCATCGGCCGACAGGCGCCGATCTCAGAAAACTTGATTAAGTGCACTTTGTTTTTAACTTGGTAACTAGGAGTTCTGTGTTGCTGCTTTGGCACCGTCTCTGTCTCCGTCTACAGCTCTTGTCCATCCTTAGTTAATATTACAAATTTGGTAAAAAATCCTATTACGGTACTCTCTTGGCGTATATTTCCCCTCAAGTATTGAGGCGATGTTCTCGTCCATTCAAAAGTGACTCAGTTCAACGTCTGGTTAGGGGGTATTGTTTTTGTGATAACATTCATAAACTTATGAAAATGCGAGTTTCATGGATTAACAGTTCTTCTTTTCTACGGATACTTTTTAGTTATAACTCCGCGGACGGCGGCAGGTGATTCAGGACTCTGCTGAGAAGGGAAAATTAAAGAATTTAATTCTAGGAAGGAGAGATTGCCACGTCTCACTTACACGTGAGAAACGCGGTTAAAATTTCGTGTTAGTAAAATATTTAAATATGTTAATTTCAGAAGAGTGTCCAAAGTGGCACCGTGGCGTCGCAACAATTTGTTTAAAATTTATTTTGAAAGATGATATTACATAAAAGTTTCGGGCTCCTACGTTTTCGACATCTATAGCCAACCTGTTTATTTCTAGATGCTCTTAACTACATACGTAATTTCATGTTTGTCAAACACAGTTTGTCATATCTTACTCAAACACTCGTTGCCCATATTTCGATATTGTTTCCGTCAAATTTCGTTAACAATAACAATAGCTTGGCTTACAATATCAATAATTCAACAACTTATTTGACGATGCAGTGAAGCATGCCTTCCTTATCAACGGAAGTTAAGTCCTTGTGGATCGGTCTGAATAATAAGCTACTAAGAATTACTAATTCCTCCTTTTGTCATGCAATATAATTCCCAATGTTAGAGAAACAATCATTTGGTGGATCGATTGAAATTGAAATGGAACCTAACTCGCATTTTCTCGTTCAACATTTTGCCCCTAAATAACTCCCCTACATTTGACAGCACCTCAACCTCCTCGCCCTTTGTCTACGCATTCAGAATGGAAGTCGCTCACAGTATAAAACTAGACTCTAATGCAACGCGTATGATTTTTGAAAATCTTTCATCAACCGTTTTTATCTAAAAAAAGCAGCAGTATGGGTTCGCTAAATCATATCAACATCTAAGAAGCCTAAGCAAATTTATTGAAGAAGTCAACTTTTACAAATGATGTATTTAAAGTATGGGAGGAATTGTCTATTTTTTTGTTTTCACTGTGGCCTCATCAAGTCTGCTGTGATCAGCACCTGAGGCGAAAGTTATTTAAAACTTAATATAACTAGGAATGCTATTGCTGCCTTAACTCCGTTTTCGTCTATGTCTTTGGCCCTTTATATCATAATTATGGTGACAAGCACCATTGATTTCTTAGCGTATATTCCCTCCAGAAGTCAATTAACGAAATTTTCATTGCAACTCCAAAGTGAGTCAGTTTAACGTCTGGTGAACGCGGGAGGTTTTTTTTTTTTTTTGCCATGAACTTATGGAAATTTGAGTTCTATATTATGACAGTTGTACTTTTCCAAGGACAGAAATAGACAGAAACAGCAGCTTTTGCACGAAATGGACAAAAGTGGCGGCTTTAATTTAACTTTTCAGCTATAAAACAAAAAAATTTCCCATTCCGGCGCAGGCTGAAATGGGAAATTGAGAGTTTATGGTATGAGTGGCAGTCTCGGTTCGCTTGGCCGCGAGTAACAGTTTCGTGATAATTAACAGTTTTTGTTAATTTCAAAAGAGTGAAAATGATTGTGCATAAGTAAGTTTAAAAAAAGCGTCCAATAAAAATTGTTTGAAAGTCGTTTTTACAGATGATATGACATTCAGCTTTGGGGCTCTAAGTGTGCGGCACCTTTATTCTCTATTTTGCACGTTGAATATTTATTTGTCATGGTGTTAGTTTAAGCTTTTCTCTTAAAAATCGCGTATGCCTCTCCATGGCATTTTAGATGAGAGTGGTCTGTATTTTTTTTTTGTGGCCTCGTTTAAGTCTCAATTCATACTTTGTTGACAAAGTCCACGTTCAACTGCAAAACGGCTTGTTGTGCACAAAGTTTTATTGTATTCAGTGGTCATTCGCAACAACGAGGTCTATCTTTATTGAGCCATATTGGCCATTAGTTGGACGAGCTGAACTGTAGCATCGGCAGATATCCTACTTATTTCGCTTAAGATCATCACGATTGCAAATCGAAAAGAGGAAATTAAAGTGAATTCAGCCGTATCCGTTCGTGTCGAAAGAGGAAAACATTATCCCGCAAAGGGCAATACAACATTCTGTTTGTCTGAAGTTCCCATTTTTCATTTCATGTGGGAGTTGACATTATGAACGGTTTGTATTGCAACGAGTCTTCCCAACATTATCCCTCTATCGCCGATTTCAAAGATCTGCGGCCAACCATTATCACAAACTGTATCTTCAACAGTTTTCTAACTTACACTGCCATCATGTTCAACGTTGTGACAATTTACGCGATACACAAAGCTGCGACAATTGCAAAACCCTTAAAGACGCTTCTTCTACACCTCGCCTTTTCCGATGTGGCTGTTGGTTTATTTGGTCAACCACTTTACATTTCACTTCTTATCAAGTGGTTACGAATGGAGAATCCAAGCTGTAACGCTTATTTAATATTAAGTATTTCTGGCGCTTTATTCTCACTTGCTTCGTCCTTAGGTGTTGTAGCTGTAAGTATAGAAAGGTTCTTAGCTGTTCATCTTCACCTCAGATATCAAGAGCTTGTGACTCACAAGCGTGTTGTTTATATGGTGATCTCTATGTGGGTGTACAGTACATTTGTTTCTTTAACAACATTGTGGGGGCTGCGTAGCACTCGAGATGCTATTGGTTTAGCTAGTGCAGCTATTGGCTTTATTCTCACGTTTATGTTCTATATCAAGATTTATCTAACTGTCCGAAGGCACAAGAATCAGATACAGTCCATGCAAATACAAAAAGAAGCTCAGTCAGATGAGATAAAAAAATTTGCTGCCCTCATTAAATCTACAATTAGTATTTTCTACGTAACTATCGTGCTTGCAATTTGTTATTTGCCTTTCCAAATTTGCTCGGCTGGTTTTAGAATCTATGGCTC